ACGAGCACAAGATCAAAGAGAAGTTAAGGTGAATGTAACTAACAAAATTAACCATCTAAAATAAATACGAACCATACAAATTAAAGATTTACATGATTCTGCCATCAACTTGATAGTGTACATCCATTTGAAAAGATGATTATATCTTTATTGAAGGAGAATCCAAATCAACACGAAAGTGAATAGCAACATATGACGATGTTATAAACTAGTGTTTGAGATCTTGAGGGGTTTGGGTATTTAGACTAAGAGAGGGATGGTGAGGTTGAGTGAAAATTGAGCTACAATCTTTGGATGAAAATGGAGTTCGATTTTTGTGTTGAACAAGCAAGAAATGAGCAGTAAGCATAGCGTAAGACACTGTTTTCGGGATTTGACCTTAAGAACAATCTTCTTTAATATATTAAGGTTTTTTTTTGCCACATGTCATATTCTCATTTAATTTGCTAGATGTCGTTTTTTGGTTATTTTGAATTAATTTTTTTTTCCACATGTCATTTTATGGGTTTTTTCTTTATTTTGTTAAAAATTCCACATAATATTTTAATGTAATAATTACAATAAATGTAGTAATAAATAAATATCAATTTCATTAATAGACTTATCTTCTAATTTCTAAATTCTCAAATTAAAGCTTATTAATTTCTTTTGTTTATTTATTTAAATTATTTGTTTAAATTTAAAATATATAAAAAAACATTTCAATTTTAATAGTTCGTTATTTTTCTTATTTTCTTGTAAATTTAAAGTTTTCAAATATTTAGACTTTTATATCTAACTTTTTTTAAATTAACTCATGTAATACATGAATCTCACAACTAGTGTATAACATTTGATAAATGTTAGATACCATAATATATTAGAATAAAGTGCGTAAAGGAGGTTGTATAATAAAAAAACATGGAATTTTTTAAGGACCATTTATGTTCACTTTTCGTATTGATATTTATCATTTATTTTATGGGTTATTGAGAAAATATATTTCGAATAATCCTTAAGGAACAATTTATACTTTATGCACAAAATAAAAAGTAATGTTTCCAAAGAATATATAGATTGTTGGATTTCAAAAGAGTTCTAAATAAGGGATACATGAGCATATGTGACCATCAATTCGAAAAATAGATAAAATCAATGAAAACTATGGAATGTGTGGTTATAAAAGGGTTTATGAAAGATAAAATCAATGAAAACAATGGAATGTGTGGTTATAAAAGGGTTTATGAAAAAAATGATCGAACGACTTGAGCCACCTATCAAAGCTGCCCAAACAACTTGCCTCCAAATTGCCAATACCACTTAGGCTACCAAGGCACTGTGGCAACTTTGCCATGATAAAGCTTGAGTTGTCCCAAGGAGACCCAATTTTACCTATTTATTCAACTTTGCTTCCTTCTTAGCATGTTTCTACTACAATTTAGGTAAAAAAAATTATGTAGAAGTCTTTTAGTCATTCCCCCTTGGACCCCGCAAGCAGGCTCCTTGACCTATTTATTTCGCCGTATTCTATATCAAATTCAACTTATATATAAATGTGCACGCCTCACCATCCAACATGTAGATCACAGTTAAAATCTCTATTTGATATTTGTGTTGATTTAAAATACATTAAGTTTGTTTTGACATTAAAATTAATGACAAAATCTGTTGGAACCGTATACCCTATTTAGGGTTGGTTTGTAAGTGGGAAAACCTAGGCGACCTCCCACGACCCAACTAGTTTGGGGGCCCCAAATTAATGTCGATCGTTTATATATATGGATTTCATCACATTCACAAAGGTATTGAAGTATCAAAAACTGATACATCAGTGACGACAATATCCCAAACAATTAAGCGAAGCGACCAAGTTTAAGTGAAGCCTCCGACTGGACTACGACTCTATCTCTCACTCTATGAGTTTATGATTTCTAATTGTCTGCTTTGTCAACTGATTTGATAATCTGTTTCTGGCATGAGTTCTAAATTCTCATTTTATGAAGCTTTGCAAGTTCAAAATAATGATTTATGAAATCCAAAATTCAATTGTCAACTTAAACTGCTTTCTCGATCACTATGATTCTATTATCTCCTCACCGAATCTGATGTTAAGTGAAATATGTTAATCACTTAATTTTTATTCTTTCAACTCTTTAAAGTTGTAGGTGTTTCAAATTAGGTTAGTTTTGAGAAAGGATGAAAGATGTCAAAAATACAAAGACAATGTGGGAGAGACACGAGAGCATGATATATGAGTGGATTTTTCTTAAGGGCCTTATATTTACTTTTGCTCCGAACCTCAAATCAGTATAGATTTAACATATTCCTATTAATACCCTAAGGTAAGTCTAACAAGATTACAATATTTTTCCAAAATCCCTAATGAAAAGAAAAAAAAAATGAAACTTTAAGGGAATGAAACACTAAGAAATCAATCTAAAACATTTATAATGTTCTCAAAATCGTTGCACAGTATCCCTTTGAGTGCCTCTAATTTATAGAAAGAATACAAAAACGTAGCAATGTTTCTATAGAAATTAAAATGGGTTCCTAAGTACAAAATATCGACTTAAACGAACCTACACAATAGTAAAAATCATACTGGTCCTCCTCATAACAGGACATAAGACCGGTCTACAAATTCACCATCAAAGTTGAGAAAATAAGTCCTTAAGATTATCGTGTTAGAACTTTAAAGTCAAATTTAAAAGTTATCGTTCTTTAATAAATATGTTATGCACACTTTTGGAAAATAGGCCCTTTTAGGTTATTATGCATACCTTTCAAAAACCAAAAATATTTCAATTATTTAATGGTTGCATCATTTTCACACAAAAACTACGGTATTCAACATATAAAAATCAACTAATACATGATATCCATGTGAAACATTCTTTCACAAATCAAAGAATTATTTAGAACCTTTCGGATAATGTTTGGGACCGCTAAATCATTAGTAGCATTAAGAGAGTATTCAAAAGTATGTTTTCTAATGTATTATCATGATATCTAAAATTAAATCATTAACTACATATTAAGATTAACGATTATGAGATAATATAATATTTGCTCCAATTGGTTCCACAACTACATACCTTAAAATCTTATATTGCAAATACCGTAAAATTGAATATTCATATTTGCAACACATTAACCACCTGGTAGTAGTTTAATCTAAAAATTATTAAATTGACATCTCAACTCATACACATTGAGGAGACGGGTTTGATAACCTCTAAACTCATTTAGATATCACATTCGAATATGTTAACATTCAACGCGTTTGATATAATATTTGAATTACTTCTGAATTGTTATAAGATACTAGAGTTTGTTAACACATTTAAATATGTTAACATTCAATGTGTTTATACAATATTTAGAGGTTGTACAAATATTGTATCAAGCACATTGATTGCTAACCGATTCAAATACACGACATCTAAATGGTTCCAACTCCATTTTATCTTAAAAATATAATAAATTAAAATCATTTTATGCTAAATAATTTAGTTTTACGAAACAAACTCATATGACATATAGCAAACATGATTACCCTTTAAGTCACATTTAAGCAAATTGCATTTAATGAAATGTATAAACAATTATCTAAGTCTTAAATGCATCTTATTATTGGTCTGATAAAATAATAAATAAAAATATATTTTAAATATATGATTTTGAAAATACTTTTGTTAAATAAAACTACATATGGTATACTATTTTATAGATGGTAAGTGGGGTCCAAACTCCAAACCAAAACCAATCGTGTCCTTGCATCCAAATGGACTGTGGCCACAAGTCCACTCACTGAGACGTTGACTACAGCATCCCCGAGATTTTCTCTTTTCCTTAAGAAAGAATCATGAGACGCCATTCAGATTCGGCATAGCATTTCCCACATCAACATCTTAGATCTTCTCCGTCGTAAGAACGGGAAAAAAAAGGTAGGTTTTCTATTGATAATTTTACAGCTACTTCTGCAATGACAATTCATCTCATGTGTATCTCTGGATAAGTTCATCGTAGACACTGCCGTTCATCTGTTTGTTTTGATTTCTATGCGAGTTTTCTCTTTTTTTTTTAGTGTATGATTTAACCGAAGTTGTGTATATATCTTGATTCATATTTCATAGCTGGCGCCTCTTAGAAACTACCGTTCGTTTGGCTGTTTTGATTTCTATGTGAGTTTTCCACAATATGAATCGCATATCTGTCTTGATTCATAGCTCGTAGAAATTGTCGTTCCTCTGTTTGTTTGATTTTTAATTCGAGTGCTCTACTGGCATTTTAGTGTATGACTACAACTGGATTGCGTATATATGTTAATTCATATTTCATATCCTGCAGAATCTGACGTTTGTCTGTTTGTTTTGATTTCTATTTGAGTTCGGCACTGATTTGGATGTGTGATTTCAGTTATGTTTGTTTTAGGTTTATATAAAAGTCGGAAAATTAATTGATATTCTTTGGATTAATGCCAACTATTGTCACTCTGTTTGCGTGTTCTTTTCATTTGACTCGGAATATTTGGTCAATCGCTAGATTTCTGTTTCTAAATTTGTCGATCTCAGAATTGAAATTTTAGGTAGCAAGATCACTTTCTGAAATCTGGTTAAATAAGGAATCGCTTGAAAATGATAATTGTAACTCAAAGAATCCAAAGATAACCAAAACTTGATTAGAGTTTGCGATAGGTGGTAAAATCTTACCTGAAACTCCGCATTTGATTATTTTGACCCTAAAATAACCAGAAATGAGAATTATAATCACTTTTACCCAAACACTCAAAGCTGATTGTTGCTAGAAGCTAAGCATTATATGAACTTTAACATAGCTTCATGTGTTTTTTACAGGATGGATCTTCCTTCACAAATTAATACTACTAGCCTGGATTACTGGATGAACTGGAGATTCTTGTTATGTTCAATATGTGTCTTTGGTTCCATAATTTTAGCATTTGTTCTAATTTGGAAGTATGACACCTCACATGATTTAGAAACTTACAAAGAGGGAAACCAACAAAAAAAGGCTTCTTCTTTGTATGAATGTGAAGCATGGATGCCATGTGTGAAGGAGATACACCCTGCTTGGTTACTGGCTTTCAGAATCATTTCATTTTGTTTGCTTTTAACCGCTTGCACTGCTGATGTTGTTCAACAAGGGACTGAATTATTTTACTATTATACTCAGTAAGTCATTATCTTCTTTTTTCAATCAATACCTATATATATATATATATATATATATATATATATATATATATATATATATATATATATATATATATATATATATATATATATATTTGCAAAAGGCGCTAAATGCGAGAAATGACAACATACTTTCATTTATTTGTGTATTATAGCATCTTACTTCCATTTCTTTCTATTACAACATTATACTTTCGATTTTTTTCTTATTAATACATTTTACTTTGAAAAACCCACCCAATTATAGCATGTACTTTGAATTTATTTTTTCTTATCTATTATACTTTAAAATATCTATCCAATTATAGCGGTGAAAATTTGCTTTGTATTTGGTGGAGGTTTTAAATTTTTTCTTTTGTCTTCTGAATAGGTGGACTTTTACACTGGTTATCTTCTATTTTGCGGTATATCTTTTCCTCCTCTTAAGTTGTTGCTTTTTATAGTTATATATCACATAAACAGATTCACATCAAAAAACTTACATTTTATTTTTTAACTTCAAATGACATGAAGCTCATGAATTTTAACCTATCTGTTCTTACAAATGTCCTCAAGTTCTTGTGCAGTTTGGATCACTGTTTTCAGTCTATGGATTGTTTCGCTACAACAAGATGTATACTTCTTATAGCTTAAATGCTAATGAACAACAAGCAATTTATGCCCCTCTCAATCATCAAGATTTGGAAAGTGCATCAAATCACCAGGAAGGAAGTTGTTTCTTGTTAAGTCCTGAGTTTTGGGGCTATGTATTTCAAATTGTTTTCCAGGTACATCAACTGTTTATAAGTTTTGATTTTTTCTAAAAAGAATACGATACTTTTTTCCTAAATATGTAGATTGAAGTGAACATGTGGGCGTTCTATCATTTGTTTTTATAGCACCTTGCTTTCACTTTATTCCCATTACAACATTGCAGTTTGAAAAATCTGCACTATTGTAGAAATGTCATCAAAGCAAATTTTGCTGCTATAACTGGGTAGATTTTTCAAAGTATAATGTCCTAAATGGAAAAGATTGGTAGTTTTTTCAAACTTCAAATTACAACGCCTTAAATAGAAAAATACTGCAAGTAGAGTGCTCTAATAGAAAGAAATAAAAGTAGGATCTTAAAATACACAAAAGTATGTTGTTATTTCTTGGTTTTTGATATTTACTTGTTTATGTTACACAGATGACTGCAGGGGCAGTGATGCTAACAGATTTTGTTTATTGGATTGTGATTGTCCCATTTCTTACCCTTGTAGATTATCCAATGAATTTTGTAAGTACTTACACTTGTTAATTTTTATTTTTGAGTTATTTGTTATTTGGTAACACTTTTGTCTTTGCTTTCTATTTTATGTTTATAAAAGTGTAAAGTGGATAGAAGAACAGTCTTTCACCATTTCCATGTGAAAAATTACATAGTTGCCCATTATTATTAGGGCTAAATGCAAGATATAGCAACATAGATACCTTCACCTATTTGTTTATTATCGCATTCTACTTTCATTTCTTTTAATATTACAATATTGTACTTTCAGTTTTTCTATTATTAAGGCATTTTATTTGTTTTTTTTTCTGGTCTGACAGTTGACAGTTCTTGCACACTCACTTAACCTTGTTTTCCTCCTTGGAGACACACTCTTTAATAGCTTGGTAATTTTCTTTACTTTTTTCTTATGTTTAATTTACCTTAAATAATGTTTTTTTTTTAAAATCTTATAAAATCCCTCCTTTCAGCGGTTCCCTTGGCACAGAATTTCATACTTTATCTTCCTTACTGCCTTTTACGTACTCTTTGAATGGGTTGTCCATGCCTTCGTCAATACTTGGTAGCGATTCTTTCTCAAACTTAGATTAAATTACAAATTTGGTCCCTGTGCTTTACCAAAAATGGCAAGTTTCGTCTGATTTTTGAAAACTACCCGAAGTCATCTTTAAGTTTGCATTTCGTTACAGATTTAGTCCCTCTGACAATGATATGCAACTCTTAAATTGGACCAGACGTAAGATTTTGAGTAAAACATAGGGACCGAATTCAAAACAAAATACAAAGTTAGAGACAACTTTGGGAAGATTTTGAAAAAATGGACCAAACTTGTGATTTTGAGTAAAGTATAGGGACCAAATTTGTAATTAACTTGTCTTATTTCCAGGTGGCCGTATCCGTTTCTTGACTTGGCTATGGACCTTGCTCCGTTATGGTATGTATTCTTTAACACCATTGTCCCTTTGCTTAACTATTTTTGTTTCTTTAGATTCAAAAATAAGATTACAATTCCGGTCCTTATGTCATGGTTTCATAAAATACTTTTGACATCTGTATCATTTAAGTTAAGAAATAACAACCAAGGTGATAACTTCGTAAAATTTACCAATATACCCTTGTCTCTTTCATTTTCTTCTTCTTCCTCCTAATCCTCATAGGAAACCACAAATTTCAAGTTTTCAACCATATTCCCATGTCTAGGTGTAAGTAATGTTAATTATAAATTAATAATAAAAACTTGTAAAAAATAAACTAAAAGGTGGAACAGAGACCAAAATTGTGATAAGTTATGAAAATAAGGGCAGGTTTACAGGAGAAAACATTTTAGGACCAAAGTTGCAAAACATAGCTATCATTGGGGCAAAAATGCAAATTACCCAAAAGAACAACTAAGTACATTAATACACGGACCAAAATTGCAGTTTACTCAAATAAGGTTATGTTTGGCGGACTAGCTGAAAAACTAGCTGATGGCTGAAAAGCTAGCTGTTAAATAAAAAGCTAGCTGATAGCTGAAAAGCTAGCTGATAAAAAATAACGTTTGGTAAAACTAGCTGAAATATATAAAATTACATAAAAGGACATGTAAGAATATGTGTTTCTATAATTAATTAAGGAGTGTATTTGAAAATTTTTAAAAAAAGCTCCTAAAAAGCTAGTCTAATTAGCTTTTCAAAAAGCTAGCTTATAAGCTACTTTTTGGCTTACCAAACACGACAACATAAAAAAACTCGAAAAATAAGCTAACTTATCAAATAAGCTGTGACGCGCCAAACACAACCTAAATAAGATCGTTTAAAATCTTTAGACACGTTTCATTTAATACCCATCTTAAATTCCATTATTCATCACGCATTTCTCTTAAATATTTTGTAGGTCCCATCAAGGTTTTTTATTTATTTATTTATTTTTTCATATTTATAAGACTTTATTGCTCATTATCATGATTACAAGTAAACTAGTGGTATTGATTTGGGTCCACAACGTTATTCTATTGTGCCTTCATGAAAAACAATTTCAACGTTTAATAAATAGTCAAACGATTTTTTTAAACCTATAACAACATTGTACTTTAGTTGTTTTGTTCTTATTAAAGCACTTTACTTTAAAAAAAATCTATCAAATTATAGCATTGGATTTTCAAATTTTTATTAGGTTATTATACCGTGAATATCAACCCAATTACAACAGTAAAATTGGTTTGTATATGTACTACATTGCTACAATCGAGTAGATTTTTCCAAATACAACGATGTAAAAATAAAAAAAGCAACAAACAAATCAATGAAACTACATTACTATTTCAGCATCTAACCCTTTTATTTATCCAAAACGTGACACGTAGGTACGTAATTGTTGCATTATTGCATCTTCCATGCTACGCTATCTTTGCACTAGTTGTGGAATTAAAGTATCGCATATTGGGTAGATGGTTTCCTGAATCATATCGACGCTTGAGATAACAACTTTCCCTTGAGATTGCACTTGTGAAAATGTAACCACAAACCCTATCGGTTGATATTGTGAGAAAATGCTCAAACTGAACAACACAAAGCAACCTTGAAAAAAAATTCATTCGGACTGCTTATCATATCAGATCAAAAGGTGATTTAGCATATATAAATATATATATGTTGATATTATTTAAGTGATTTTGAACTTGTTAATTCTTTGAGAGTTTTGAGGTATTAAGATTTATTTGTTGAGTTGGATTTACCTGTCAATGTATTTTTATGTTCTTTTATTTAAATTTAATAAAGAAATATTATAGAGGGTCAAACTCATTAGATTACAAGATGTAACTTTTATATCCCTAGTCATATTCTCTCTCTTCGATTAAAATAGAGATATAAAAGTCAAATCACATCACCTCTCTTTTTTTTTTTAGATCAAATACATCTGATGACACCAACCATTTTGTAACCACAGTTAACTGTCCAACTGCTTTGTGATCTCCATTGTCGATTGTTTTCGTCTAAGGACTGAGATTGAGTTCTCTGGTTCTCTCATGAAAATGAATTCTATGATGGACTTGACCCTTATGAATGCAAAAACTAGTACCTTAAAAAAAAATGATCCATCTTTCCATGAATAAAACAATTTAAGATGTAAACACTTAGAATGTATTCGTTTTCTTTTTAACTAATTTATTTAATAAATTGTGTGTTTGACCTAATATGAATATAATTTAACCCAAATTCACTTGTTTTAATATTAATTGTTGAAAACTTGAAATTGCCCTTGTAAATCTTGGTTTGATTGGTGACATATTAATATCATATCAGTTATATAATGAACAATGTTTTTGTTTAAAGGCCTTACCGTATACATGCAACGGGGCTAGTTGTGGTTGAGCTGGCCACGAACAGCAACGGTCGGGCACACCACTCCGTTGTTTCGTGGTCGGCCGTTTCCGTGATGGCTCGTGTTTGGAATAACGAATGCAAACGCCACTTTGACCAAATGTTTATAGCCGTTCAACGGCTAGTTTATTTATTAAAAATAAATAAATAAATAAACAAAAATTTAACCAATTTATTTACCTATACACTTTTACCCCTTATTTCTTACACTATTCTTTTATTTCTCTATACACAAAATACACATTACATCTTCATAACCAAAAACCATGGATCCCAACCAAAATATCCCTCCAAACTATAGAAATTGCAAACCCAATAACGTTTTTGAGTTTGATACTACACCTCGTTAAATCCCGACTATGGACTCACCTCAAGGCGGTTTTGTCAATTTGCTTCAAACCGATTCCCCTATCCAACAAACACCACTTTTCCAACAACAATATCAACATTTTCTGACCTTCTAACAACAATACCAACAATTCCAACAACTACAACTACTCCAACAACAAGCGTCACAACCACAACAACCACCACTTTCGCCGGATTTTGTTTCAGAAACTCAACCTTCAGCGCCACCTCAATCAAAAAAGAAAAAAGGAAAAAAAATCGGGCCGAACCACCACCACCCAAGAAAGGGTCCCATGGACAAAAGACGAAGAAGAAAAGTTAGTGGAGGTATGAGTGTCGGCTTCCTAAGACCCAATTGTAGGAGATAGTCAACCTTACGAAAGTTTTTGGGAGAAAATTCGAGTCATTTTTTACGAGTTAATGGAAAGTGAAACTCGAAATGTTGATCAAATTACGTCAAAATGGCGCAATATTCAACTAAAATGCACTGAATTTGGAGGAATCTACAACAATTTCCTAAACATATGCAAAAACGGCTCGAACGATTTTGATGTTTTCAAGGCGGTCATGCATCAATTTGAAAAAACAACTCCAATATGCAAAGCTTTTCCGTATATGAAATTGTGGCTAAATTGAAAGATGTTCCAAAATTGAAAGAGCAAACGGAAGGAACTTCGCAATCTTCCGGTTCAAAGCGTTCGAGAAACCCCGATGAAACTTCTCAACAATCGGACGGCCGAACACACATCAACATCAACGATGGTCCGCTAGATCTTGAAACCGAACAACCTCTTCGTCGGCCCATTGGAAGAAATAAAGCAAAAAAAAAACTGTTTCAACATCTTCGAGCTCTAGTGTTATGGATCTTTTTGGCAATAAATTTGATCGATATGTGCAACTTCAAGAAACGAAGGCCGAGGTGATGATTCGGATTGAGCAAAAAATGATTGAAGCAAAAACATCATTTCAAGAGACACAAGCGACGATCCAAACAAAAACCGATATGGAAATCTTGAAAATGAAAGTGGACGACCTTAATGGCGAAAACTTGGAGCTTTTTCTAGCGATGAAAGAGTCGGTTCGAACCCGACGTAGACGTAGGGGTAGTTTATTTTATTTATACTTGGTATTTTTAGGGTTTTTTAGTTTAAGTAATGTAATTTTTATTTCTAATGTTATTTTTATTTTTATTTTATTTCAATTAATGTGGTTTTTATTTAATGAAATTTAGTATTTTATTTAATGGAAAACTAGTATTAAAAAAATGATTTTTATTGTATTTTTGATTTTTTTTTTTTTTTAAAAAAGGTGGAGTGGTTTGTTAGTGGTAAGTATCTTATGTTAGTGGTAAATGAATATGGTGTTGATGTGACACCCACCACATGTGGTATGCGGTAGGTATAACAGTTGGTCTAATATCAACATTTAATATGGTTTGTTTGTTTAATCATGCCTACAAAGTAAGGATCGGATCTTATATACCAGTTAGATTAAATTGTCAATAATTTTTTTTTTGTCATTTTCTTAATTTTTTTTCATAAATAGTTAATCTCTCCCTATTCTAATAAATGAATAGGTTTATGCTTCTTTTTTCATGTGTCATCTATTAAGCATTCTAATTAATATCATATCAATTGTCAACCTATTGATTAACCATTTTAAATTTCAAATATTAAAATTCTCAGTCTAATTACATTAAATTAATAACATTAGAATAAAAATATTTATTCTAATAAAAGAATAGGTTTATTTTTATTTTGTCATGTGTCACCCTATTAGGTCTTCTAATTAATATCATACCACATGTCAACCTATTTATTCTTCATTTTAAAGTTCAGATTTTAAATTTGTCACTCTAAATACATTAAATAAATAACATTATAATAATAATTAAAATAAAATTAATACAGATTATAAGGTATATAATTTCACGTATTTATTTAAATCAACGATTATAATTTTATATAACAAAAATATATCTCTTAATTAATAATTTATTTAAAATAATTGATTAATAATTTTGAATTTTTATTATAAAAGTTTGACTAACTTTGTAACCGTGATTCCTCTATTTCACCCCTCCAGGCACTGGTACCCACACTCGGCTACACTGTGTCAAAAGACCACGACTATCCTTAACAAACATAGGATAGTATCCCCGAATACGCTCTATCCTCCAATTGTCTCTATTCATTCCCTCGACCTGGGCCTCCTTGATCATGTCCAACAATGGAGAGATCACCGTCATCCTCATACAAATGTTCCCAATCGGGGACCCCTCCGTCTTGCGGCTCAAAGCATCGGCCACCACATTGGCCTTCCTTGGATGGTATAGGATCTCGCAATCATAATCCTTCAGCACGTCCATTCACCTCCTCTGTTACATGTTGAGGTTCTGCTGATCCGTCAAATACTTTAAACTCTTGTGATAAGTATAGATGTTGCATCACACCCCATACAAGTAGTGTCTCCAAATCTTGAGGGCGAACACCACTACCCCCAATTCCAAGTCGTGTAAGCTATCACGTGCCCCCTCTGCATCAGTATCGCACCTAACCCTGAAATCGATGCGTCACAGTACACCACGAAATCGTCTAACCCCTCGGGTAGTACTAGGATCGATGCCTAGTATAACCTCCGTCTTAGGGTCTCAAAAGCCAACTGCTGATCCGCGCCCCACCGAAATGTCACATTCTTCTTGGTCAAACGGGTCAATGGCATAGCAATTTTGGAGAAATCCCAAATAAATCTCCAATAATAACCCGCTAAACCCAAGAAGCTATGAATCTCTGATGCGTTCTTCGGTACTTCCTACCGCATTACAGCCTCAACCTTGGTTGGATCAATAGAAATGCCTTCCTGATTGATGATGTGCCCCAAAAACTGTACCTCTCGCATCCAGAAATCACACTTGGAGAACTTTTCATAAAGCTTCTCAACCCTCAGGGTCTCCAGTACCTCCCTCAAATGTTGCCCATGCTGCTCCTTGGTCTTAGAATAGACTACGATATCATCAATAAAAATAATCATCGACTGATGCAATATCGGTCTACACACCCTGTTCACGAGATCCATGAACGTTGTTGGGGCACTGGTAAGCCTAAAAGGCATCACCAAAACTCATAATGCCCATACCGAGTCCTGAAAGTCATCTTCGGTATATCTTCATCCTGAATCCTCATCTGGTGATACCCCGACCGAAGATCAATCTTGGAAAACCAAGACGCACCCTGCAGCTGATCGAACAAATCATCGATCATTGGCAATGGATAACGGCTCTTCACTGTTAGTTTGGTAAACTCTCGGTAATCAATGCATATCCTATGTGATCCATCCTTTTTCACGAATAGGATCGGTGCTCCCCATGGGGAACTGCTCGGATGTATGAACCCTCGGTCTAGCAGCTCCTGAAGCTGCGTCGATAACTCCTGCATCTCAACGGTGCCAACCGGTATGGTGCCTTCACTATTGGAGCGGCACCCGACGCCAAATCAATTTGAAATTCCACCTGCCTCTCCGGAGGCACTCTTGGTAACTCTTCAGGAAAAACATCCCGAAATTCCTGTATAATTGACACACTGCCCACATCCATCGTGGTCTCAACCCTCATATCTAAGATATAAGCCATAAATCCCATACATCCCTGCTGCAGAAATCTCCTAGCCCTTGCAGTCGATCAGAGAGTTGGCTCCTGCGAGGCTCTCTCATCATGTATAAGCAGTTCTCCCCCAATTGGGGTTCGAACCCTAACCAACTGGCGCTCGCAATCAATCATGGCCCCATTGGCCCCCAACCAATCCATCCTGACCATCACCTTCAACCCTCACAACGGTATTGGGACTAGATCAACACGAAACCTCTCGCCCAACACATTTGGTATGCAGTCCTGATACACCCTCGCATCACTCACAGTGCGTTCATCTGCAATCTCCATCTCGAGTGGGGAATCCAAGGTTCTCGGCACGTCCTGGAACTTCATGCTAAGCGCAAAGGACACGGACGATCTAGTAGCACCCGAATCAAACAAGACATGAGCAGACATACCATTGACCAAAAAGGTCCCTATACAAGCATAAAGTACATATAAGTCATAAGAATAATAAGTGCGGAGAATAATAGACACATACCAGCCACAACGTCTGGCGCTGCCCGAGCCTCCTCGGTAGTCAGCTAAAATGCGCGGCTCTTTACCGTTGGGGCATCCGCCTTAGCAGGGCAGCCATCAGTGATCCTCAGTGTGGCGGGTGCATGCACCGCCACTACTCCTCCCCATCCCTGCAACCTTGGACAGTCGGCCTTTTTATGGCTAGTCTGGTTGCAATGGAAACATATCAAACCCTTCTTGGGGCAATCCCTGCTCAAATGGCCCTGCTGACCACAAGAGTAACATCTTGATATCCCTGTTGTCTGATAAGCCCCACTATGTGATTTAGCACACCTGGCATACCGGCCCCAGCCCTGCTTGCCCCTACTAGAAGTGTCTAAGGTCTTAGGCTTCTTAGCTTGACCCACCGCTGCATGTGCTTGCTCCGATTTCTGCTTGGTGCGGAAGTCTAACTCCATCTCCCGTTTCTGGGCCTTCTCCACCATCTCGTTCAGGGTTTTACACCCTGTAAAGCTCACAAACTCTCAGATATCATCAATCAGCATGGAATGATATCTCTTCCTCCACATATCCTCATTGGTAGCATACTGTGGAATCAACAATGCTCACTCATGAAACTTGGCGGTGATCTCCGCCATAGTCTTGGTGGTCTGCTGGAGTTCCTGGAACTCCCTCACCATCCTCTGCACCTTAATGGCTAGTGCAAAATCCAAATCAAATCGTCGTACAAACTCGGCCCAT